TTTCACAAAATAAAATCATGAAATGTGATAACCTCGGGAAAAGAGGGTTTGCTAAGCCTTTAGGCCCTATTCGGGACGGAGGAATCGAAAACATTGGTTTAAAACAAAAACAGAGGAAATGGAAAGGAAGAGAGATGCAAAACATGGGAAGTGAAAACATTGCAAGAAACTACATGATTGGTGTTCTGGACGCAGGAGAAGGAGTCCCACGAATTTAGCTAATGTGGGTCCGAAGTTGTTTGCTTGTTTGTGTATGTGGGCCTCAATGTGTAAAGATCAAGTTTTTTTATAGATGATGTGGGTCCCTACATGCATGCCTCGGCCCTCGCGGAAAAATGGGACAGGAGCGGATGTTTGTTTTCCCGTGAAAACACATGTAAGGAAAACTTTCCGGTGGAACAGTAACGTAGGTTTCCTTCATCCCGAACGCCAAACTATGAATCAGTTCTGTAGGATTCGGTTTCCTTTGGTTTTCATGCACTCTTCCTTCGTCCCGAATATGCCCTTAGAGTGTGTGCACCATAAAGAAATTGAATCGGTATACCATCTTTTTTTTAGTGCATTGTAGCTAGGCTGGTTTGGGCAGAGGCTAAAAGTTTGTTTCAAGTTTCTGTTGATAACTTTGAATCCGTTGCAAAACACTGGCTTTGTGAAAGAAGATGCTTACATCCTAATGTAGTTTCTTCTGTTGTCCTGTGGGGGCAATGAAATTTTATGAACTCCAATGTTTTTAATAGGTGCTCCTGGATCTCTATGAAACATGTTCTTGGGCTGATTTATCAGTATTTGAGAAGTTGGAGAAAGCAGTACAAGGATTTACAGGGGGCATCTGATGGAATTTCAGACCCTGTTGTGGATGCGTCTGAAGGCGCCTTTTGCTCTCGAGCCAGACTGGTATAATGTAAGATGTGGTTTGAATTTGTATCCTGCAATGAGACGGTGTTGTGGATGCATCTGAAGGCGCCTTTTGCTCTCGAGCCAGGTTGATATAATATAAGATGTGGTTTGACTCTGTATTTTGGAAAGAGACAGTTGAAAATGGTGCGCATTGTGAGGGAAGTACACTGGAATATCAGCAGCAAAACCCTCAAGAAGACGAGTCCATCCATGTTGTGTTCTCTAGTTACTAGGGATGGCCCCCCTGGCCTGCTGTTGGCCGTTGTCTGAACTTTGTTGTGTTGGTGATTTGCATTAAAATGTGATCTAACTTTTGATGAGTAGACACTCTTTTCGTTTTCTTTGGTCTGGATGATGTTATAACCTTGGTGATTTATTTCTTAATTGATTGGGGCTGGGGAGGGCCCAGATTATTAAAAGACAGTCTTGCTAATTGCTCTTTTCAGTTTTTTATTTTATTTTTTTACATGTTGTGTCAATTGACTTGAGACTTGGTTAAGTCCTAGTCGACTGAGAACTAGCCGCATCCAAAAAACTGGTTTATTTTATTGCATGCTCATATATAGATCCGATTGTTACATCCACAAAAAAGCTACAGGGGACGTAGAAGTTGAATTATACACTGCAGTATGAGTTACTGTTCCTTGTAGTCCTTGTTGTTGTATGGCGCAAAGAGCTCGGCGATCCAGTTGCCCTTACGTAGCGTGGCGGAGCCGAGGTCGGCGCACATGCCGTCGCTGTCGTGGATGCTGTAGGTGGAGATGCAGTGGCGGCGGTAGAACCGCGTGGTGCGGCGCATGGCGTCGGCCTCGCCGGCGACGTGCCCCATCATGGCCATCACGGACGGTAGCTCGAACCGCCCCTCCAGCAGCCCCGACAGCCACCGGCACCGCAGCTCCGACGTGTGCAGGTTCGACACGCTCTCCACGAACCCCACGAACGCCATGTTCGGGATGAGCGGGTGGATCGTGCCACTGCAAAAAGGAATTTGTACATCAGCATCGATCGATGCATATATGTTGGAGCAAAAGATAATCGCACGTACCGGTAGAGCGGCATCATGGAAGACTTGCCGACGACGAGGTCGCGGAAGGGCTTTGGCAGGACCTCGCGGAGCTTCTCCTTGCCCTCGAAGCCGGTGGCGAGGAAGACAAGGTCCGCCTCCACTTTGGTGCCGTCGTCGAGGACGACTCCGTTCTCGGAGAAGCACCACCCAGCGGAGGCTCTCTTGAAGCGTACGAGGCCACGGTCCGCCATGTCGAAGAAGCCCTCCGGGAGGATGGCCATCTGGCAGCTGGCGTAGTCCTCGACGAAGGGGTGGTCCGGCGTCAGACCGTACTTGGCCAGCGGCAGCTTCCACGACAGGTACGACTCGATGAACTTCGACACCCCTGACCGCTGGACCACAAAAATTCAAAGAACAAGACGTTGCTGTCAAGATTGAGATGTGCATGCTGGTCTGCTTCGTGCAGTAATGTTCTTGTTGACGGTGACAAATTAAGGGGTACGTCTCGAGCATGCACACGTGGATGTTCTTGAGTCCCGATGTAGAGTATTACGTACGTTCAAACGTATAGTACGCTTCTACGTACATCTTTTCCCATATACGTGCATGTGTGTCGTGTACAAGTTTCACGGTGTGAGTCAAAACATACCAGTGGGCTCATGAGGCGGCAGAGGAGGGATCTGAAGAGCCCTTGGTTGGGCCGCTCGTAGAAGAGCTGAGAGAAGCGTGTGGAGTAGAAGAGGAAGAACGGCAAGCCCCAGATGGAGTAGGACGGCACCACCCAGTGCAGGGTCCGCACCAGCATCGTGCACGCCTGCCCTCCCTCGCCTGCAAACAAGCAACCAAACGCAATCGGTTAATCGATCGATTCATGTCAACATTTATCTCGATCTAGTTCTAGTTTCCGCGACGGAATCTCGACACAGCCAGTTGCTCCTACTACTAATTTCAGGAGCTCTAAATCGAGAGATGACTAGCCGGGTCAAGCGTCAGGCTGTTCGGTACCAGCACTGATTATACTATTGTTTTGAGGAACTGTTGAAATGTATACTCAAGTCAGGTCGTTAGGACGCCATGGCCACTAGCTAGTACTACGAGTGATGCGTGCGGACAATCTAGTTTGGAAGGTTCGTTTGGATCGGCAGATAATCTTTGTTGCAAATCTGCTATACTACTAGTCAAACATGCAAACACTTTGGTACATATATGATTGAGTGACGCGTAGAATTTTCTTTGACCCCAACTGGTGTGTTCTAGTCTAGTAGTATATAGTATTGCTCATGCATGGAGCTAGGAACGTTGAAAAGTCAAGTAGTAAGGACAGTCCTGATGTTTGTCTACGGTATGATAGGTAAAATACCTAGCTGGCAATGTATTTAAAGAGAAGAGAGAGGGGGTTATTTGTTAGTGAAGAATAACTTATTTTTGCATGTACTGTAATTAATGCTCTAATCTGGTGTGACTTATTTTCCTAATTTTTACCCTTTCCTTTCTCTCCATAACGAGGCAACAAGATGGACATGTAAATATGGTTCCAAAATAAATTAAATGCAATATCACCTGGACACAACATTTAACAGACAATGCATTGTGGTAATTGTCGCTAAAAAAATCACTACCGTACATATGATAACGTATTAAGAGCCAATGCATGAGCACTGTCCTAATTATGTCTAGTGTACATTGAACATGCAAATGCAAGAGACCTGCCTAGGCTAGGATAGGCTGTTGAGACAAGGTCAAAAAAAAAGGGTTAGGACAAGAGTGACCTTTTCCGGAACAGAGTTTCCGACTCTCCCAAATCGCCAAGGCATATGTCACCAAATATGGTTATGCATTATTCAGACATCCACTTCATCGAATGATGGGGCGCTTTCACAATATTTATTAGTATCCTGTTTTTTGTTTTGTTCGGCTCTGTGTGAACATGCTTGGCATATTATTTTTCTACGATTTCCTCGTATACACGCGTTTACACGAGTACGATGGCTTATCTGCCTTGGCTAGCTGCTAGTTTCATGCGTAGTTCCATGTTGAATTTTGTCCATGTTTTAGGAGAATTTTGGTTCAAACCAAGTTAAATCTTTCCTATGCATAGCTAGGAGGAGTATGCTTTTACGCACCTTGGTTTGCCTGAGCACATTCGTTGGCTAGATCGATAGCGCTCTTCTTGTACCCAACCACCACAACCTTCTTGCCTCGCATCAGCTCAACGGTCTCCTCCTCGTTCAGCTTGCAGTAGTCCAGCGAGTGCATCACCGTCCCCTTGAACACCTCCGGCCCCTTCCCCGCGGGAACACCGGCATCCGCGGCACGTCGCCGTACTTCCCCGTGCACATCACCACGAACTCGAACTTGTAATACTGCAGATTACCGTGCGCGTGAGATCGATTGAATACAAATTATCTCGAAACAAGCATGCAAAACATGTCAAAGTATATATTGGTACCTGAACGGTGTTGGAGTCGCCGGTGACGATGCCGACCTCCCACATGGGCTTGCCCCGGAGCGGAGCCTTGCCGGTGCCGCTCCACAGCTCGGTGAACCCGGCCTCGGCGCCGCCGAGCAATTTGATGTCCACCACCTTGGACTCAAACGAGATGTAGCGCCAGAGGTCGAACTCGTCGGCGTAGCCCTCGAGGTAGTCGACGATCTCGGTGTGGGTCGGGAACGACGGGTCGTCGCGGTTCTTCCAGGAGTAGTCGGAGAACTCGTAGTCCGGGCGCGGCGTCTGCAGCCGCGTGGTGCGGTAGACACAGTGCTTCCACACCCCGCCGACGGACGGCGTCGCCTCAAACACCACGGGGTCGTAGGCCGCCATCTGCTTCGCCGCAGCCAGGCCGCTGATCCCGCCGCCGATGATGGCCACACGGGACACCGGAGGCACGGCCTCCCTCGTGGCCCGTGCTGCTTGTCCTTGCGCCATGGCCGTCGACCCGGGGTGCTGGATGAAGCTGGCTGTTTGTGTGGCGAGGTGCTCGATGGATGGGTGGGCTGTGGCGACTTCTTGCGGGCGTAAGGGGTGCAGAGCTTTGCGGAGGGCTTGTGTGTTGTGTTGTGTCTTGTGTGTCGACGAGAACAAGGGTTGGCGTATTTATAGGATTAGGGATGCTCTTGAGCACGTGAGCATCCCACTGCGTCTCTTAGAAAATCTACTTTTCTTTGCTGAAACGTAGCTAGAGAAGAAAGAGCAAGCTAGGCCCAGGGTGGGGGCAGCAGTACATACAAGCATACGCACAAAATGCCATGCAGTATACCTGTGTTCCAGTATAATTTTTGGAAGCATTATATTGCTTACCGCACAAAATGCTAGAGTGCATAGCTCCACTGGGTAAAATGGGCGTTTATCCAATCGTTCCACCTCACAGTGCTCTATCCTCAATCTGTCATCTGCTTTTATCTTTCTTCTATCGTCTCCTTCCTCTAACTTATGTTGTCTTCTTTCTAAGTATGACCGTATCCATCGTACATTCGTATTGTTTACCATTGTTCTCTTTGCCTCTCATATGATCTTAAATATTTTTTATTTTTTTGCGGGTACATATGATCTTAAATATGGGTGCACTTCAAGGTTATTTCATATGTCTATTGGCTGCCCTTTTTATCCTATATCGTCTTATTTCTCTGTATTCATTGACCTTTGTATCGCCGCCACTATCGTTCCCCTCCTCCCGTTAGCCTTGCCTTGGCCGACTCGACATAAGTGCCATCGCCTAGTGGCATGCTTGGTCATTACTGTTGGGCTACTGCCATTTTGGCCCACCTCTATGTTTGGGGGAACACATCAAAGCAATCAAATGCGAGCTACGACACAACTTCCATCTTCGGTTAGGTCAAGTAAAACGAGAGAGAAGAGGAGCACAACATTCGCTTGAGAATGGTGCGGGTGATAAAATTTATTTCTAGTCATTTATTTACATCAAAATAGCTAGCCTCACTAATGTTTCTCTCGATTTGTAAGCTTGCCACCTCAACGTGCAACATGCATGGATAAAAGTTCCATCACAACATACAACCATGCAGAAAAAACTCACCTCAACATGCAAAATTGTATGAGAATTCTCATTTATTATGCTATATAATATATATTTTACAACTATAGAATAATCAAGCATGATAAATCATATGTATTTTAAGTTTTAGTCATCATATTATATCTCCATATTCATGCTCCCTACAATCTCATCTCATTGAAATATATTGCAAAATATCTCTGCTACAACGTACGGGGCACATCGAACCAAGCAGACGTCGAACATACAAATATATGTGGACTTGACCATTGAGCTTACTCCCTTCAATCCATATCATTTGTCTTAGATTTGTTTAGATACTGATGTATAGAAGGAGTAGTACAGTTCTAGGGGTTGTACCTGCCTTGTTTTGTTTTCTTCCTATGCTGCCCTCAGCAGAACATTTCTCGTTCTTTCGGTTGTATTGTATTGTGTGTGACGTGCAGGCCCGTCGACAAGGGTGTGCGAGCGGTGTGATCGCACAGGCCCCCGAAATCGTAGGGGCCCCGATCGAAGGAAAAACCATGTAACGGTCGCGGTTCATGCGCTGGTTTGCTGCCTTTTTCGGCTGGCTCGCTCGATCCGGTTTAATTGGAGCAAACCTTGCACGAGAAGCGGAACCTTCGTTACGGTGCCCTAATACCCAGCCAACAGACCCTCTGTTGGCCCAGTATTGATTTATCTACTCCCCTTTCGGCCTGTTTGTAAGAGAGCAAGTAAAAAAACAAGGCAGGCTAGTTACGCTAATGGGCCTAATCGCTATCGCCAACAGCGCATGTTTCTTTACTGCAGCAGTCTCTGACCACAGGTATATTTTCCAAGGTAAGTCGTAGCCATAAGTCTGGGATCAAAATAGATGAACGAAAAACTAGTTAGGGTTATTACTTTTTTGTTACAATCGTTCTCTTTCTTGTTCTTTTGATATCTTCCTGTCATATCCATTGACTCGATTAGGCATGCACTTAGTTTTAATCAAAATTAATAGGATTATCACACTAGCCGTATGCTAATTTCTAATTGTAGTACTAATTTTTTGTTGTGTGCTCCTCTGCTACACTATTTCATTCTAAGAAAGACTCAATGAATTTTTTGCTAAATTCTGGGCCCCATTTCGCATTTCGCACCGGGGCTCCGAATTCCTGGAGACGGCCCTGGTGACGTGCGTGGTTTGTTGCTACCTTTATGTATCTTAGATGCTTGAATATGTGATTTATCTATAAAACGGGACGAAAGCCTATTTCTATAATAGTATAATATACCTTTTATTAAGAAAGATAAATATAAAACCACACGTAGCAGCATGTACACTTGATTACCACCGACCGTAAACTGGGCATGTCCTTTTCGGTCGCATCTTTGTTACAGCTAATTTCTAGAGAGCAAAGATCATGGGTTCACTCATGCACATGCATGACCGTGTCAAGCCGGCCCCTCCATCTCGTTCCGCTGATCATCTGGAACTCTGGATCGGAAGAAACTTATTTCGGACCGGAGAACAATACTGTGTAACAGTGTAAGTGTAACCCACCGGACCCCCGTGCCTGCCCATTTTTGGCTGGGCGCGTACATATCCCTACATGGCTATATCTCACTTGTCTTGTCCCGTCGCCAGCCGAATGTTCCTTTCAGTTTCAACCCCATCTAGCCCTTCGGTTGTTGCTACGTCCTGTCACCACTCACCCGTGGTAGCAAGCTGCATGCATGCGGACTATTCTTTCCCTGTCACCGCGGTGTGGAAGCAGCAAACCAACTTGACACGGTGCGCTATCGATCAATTCAGGGTTTTGTGGGGGAGACCAGGGCTCTGCCTGCCTGCTTTAGTTTACTCTCGGCCGGTTAATTCAAGAAATATATACGTATATACTCAGCATAATATGGTCGCAGTGATAGATAAATTTGATTTCTCTATTTGGGTCTCCATGCATATATATATATATGACCCTTCAATGTACTCCTGACGGTTCGCAGATACTAAATAACTCCGGCCTTGACAATTCTTATCATGGCCGTCTTCGGCCGGACGTGACGGCGCAAGCATGCTTATTCCTTCTTATGACGTTGCTAAGCGGGAAATAGGCTTAATCATAGGTGTTTATTTTCGGTCTTGTAATGGTTTAGCTGTGTTTGTCTTTATTACTTACTTTGCTTAATAATTAATAAGAACCTCCATTTCGAAAGAAAAAAAATCGGTGGTTTCCTCGACACTCAAATGGACTATGAAATTTAACTTCAACCCAACGGACCCATGCCTGCCAATTTTGGTTTAAAAAAATTCAACATGAACATTTTCAGATGATAGCCCACAAAGAAAATAGTTGAAAACATAGTTGCAGTAGAACTTCCTCTAAAGCTATATCAGCCTATGAGCTATGGTGCTATGAGAGCAACTATAGCCGGACTCCCTAAATTGATCGGGTGGCCGTAGGAGCACTGGTCGGACACGTAAGAGAAGGAAAAGGTTGACCCAACTATACCACTCAAAGCCTCTCTAAACATCCGGGCCGTCTCACACTCCCCATACTCAACACATATAAGCGGCAATATGAGGAGTGTCCGGCGTGTTCGGTCAGTTGCCACATGAGATTTGGCGCACCGCGTATCATGTTTTCTCTTTCTTTATCTTTCTTTTCTTCCTCTCTCTCCATCCCCATCAATGACATGCACGTGATCAGCCGTATAGGGAAAAACTGGGGAACCTTGATATGTGCACAGACAAATAGCGACTTGGAACAGACACGCCCGGACAATGAACAGACGCGTCCATGGACGTTTGAGGTGCCAAATTTGTCCAGTCCGACTGATGCCCTAATTTTCTGACTTTGATATTTAGGTTACATAACTATATATTATTGGTTTAATACCTGGTTAAAGTTGAAATTTATAGTATGTATGTGCCTTATTCATTGAAACGGAGTAGTACGACAATTTGTATCCTTCCAAATGTTGCTACATACTCCACGTCAGTATGGGAGGCTTCTTTTTTTGTGTGTGAGTGACAGTGCCGTAGGTTTCACTTGTTTTGAACCCTATCGTTTTTATTTATGATTACTCCAGGGAAAAAACACTAATTCTAGCTAGTAGCTTCTCACACTATTTCAAACCCTGAAAGGTACACATTTATATCCCTTTATATCTCTGCCATAACGCTCGCACGTGTGGCATTTATCAACACGCCCACACGTATTTGATGACGCTTGATCCATTTGCACGAATTTTGAAGTAGTTGCCATCTCGGTGGATTGCCACGTGAGCACCCATCTTCGTGTGGGAGTTAAGGGCACGTGATAAGATAGTCTTATCTTAAATCTTGCATGTAGTTTAGAAATGATAATAAAAATATGTCTACAATGAGTTATCTCTTAGCCGGCCTTATCTTTAATAACTAGTTATTTCTAAAAACATGGTGTGACATATTGTGTTAAGAAATCATCTCTTAAATAAGAGAAGACAAACTTTTTCTTATAATTTCTCTCTCCTCCATCTCAACATTTATCCTACGGGCACTCCTAAGATAGCACCATTGTACATGCCCTTAGTGCCATATGTATGGCCGCTCCTCTTCCGAACGGACACAAGACGCTCGCCCGAACGTGTGGGCGAAACTACTCTTCACCCACAGGACGCTCACACGGTGATAGATGGCAACCGTAGGTGTGCATATGTGGCAACTAGTTAATCACACATGACAACTATGGTTGACCATACATGGCAACTATGGTTTAACCACACACGGCAACTACAGGTGTGCATATGTGGCAACTAGTTAATCACACACGGCAACTATGGCAACTATGATTTGATCACACGTGGCAACTTCAATTAGTTACACATGGTTCCTATATTCAATGATACATGGCAGGCATAGCAACTACAGTTAATTACACATGGCAACTAAAGTTGATTACACACGCGT